TTGCCATTAACAGTATGTATTTGTCAGCTTTACATTTGTGAAGGTGGTGGTAATATTTTTCTTCTACAATCATAATCCAAGTTTAAGACCCTTGTGTAATTCTTAGCCAAGATTATTTGTTCTTTAGTACTCTACAGCTGCTACTTTCTTGGATTGTATTTTTTCCAAGTTTTTTCTTCTTCTCCCCTTAACAATCAATTATTTCCTATTTGTAATTTTTCTTTAAAACAATAGAGGAAATATTGGGTACAGAGATCCTATGTCAGTGCTTATTGTCCAAGCTTCTTATTTTAGTGGCTTTACATGATTTTGTTTGGGGAATTTGAAGCTGCTGAGTATAATCTGTGGATTAGCGCTTTCATCACGTTTCTTTACAGTATATTGCCCTCTAAGGACAAAGGAAATCAAGCAGTTAGTATTTCTACCTATGCTTACCGGAAGAAGCATCTCATGTGACAGTGTCTAGGCTTAGCATTACTTTGCTGGTTTCCTATGGTGTTTGGAGGCACCTAACTTGGTCACTATAATTTTTAGTGGTTACTCTAGCTTTCTATCATCAAACCCTGTCCCTCATTACCTCCTTTTTTTGAGAGACTGTGAAACAGCTGCCTATTTGGAAACTAGCTTGTTTTCTCTGTAAGCCCCTACTCTTCCTCCCCCCATTTGCAATTCTTCCTCACCTCCATTTGCAATAGAAGTCACAGTTCACGTTGGTTGCAGTCACACAAGGTAATCCAGATGCTGTTTATCCTTTCTTCCTGCTCACTAATAAATGACTTGGGTAAGGTCAAATTGAGCAATTATGAAGTGATCATTTAAAATGCCTGCTTGCTCTATCTTGAGTATTTGATGCTGTCTGTTTACTTATCTAAATAAATACCATGTACAGTCAACAACTGCACTCATCTTTTAGTCAAAAATAGTAAGTAAAGGCAAGTAAAAGTGTTGTGTTTTATTCTGAATTTCTACCTCTCATTTAACTTTAACTTACAGCAGTTAAATACATATTCTTAAATATGAAGTGTAAATGCTGCTGTAATTTAGTCCTGAAGTTTTCTACCATCTTTTTTTCAGTGGAGAAAGACATAGGAAGAAACACTGTCATTTCCACTCTGTGACAAGTCATAATGCTCATTTCTAGAGAAACGCTTTTTTAGTTTGAGCCTAGTTTTGTTACTGGTGTCACGAATGCCAGTGACACTGTTTTGTTCCTGTGTGTAGTGACAAGAATCTGTTGCCAGTAGAAGGTGCATGGCACTAAGTAGTCATTTGGCTTTCCCTCCTCAGACCTTAATGCTGTTAATTATAATGTTAATATTTCCTTAAAATGTGAAATAAAAAAAAAGGAAGTATTTCAATAGCATTCATTACCTTTCTTTGTTGAATCAGTGATATTGAAGGTTAAAAGATAGACAGCAGATATTAGAGATAGGAACAACAATTCTAGGCAAAATGAACTGTCAAAATACTCAGATCCCACAATCCTGAAAATTCTGTGTTCCAGAAGAAAAGGGTGTCTTCTATAGCACTTCATTAGAGATTTTTGCACTGTGTTTCCCTTATTGGCTCTGATTCTGCTCAGACTCATAGAGTTCTGAATTGAGAGGTAAGAGTAGCAACCATCTCTCGTGTCCTTCATGGAAAATAAAGTTTCCAGAGAATAATGAAATTTGCAGTCCATTTTATAATTTTTTTTTTTCTAACTGAAGTTAAGGAAGTTAAAGTTGATCTTGGCAAACTGTAGGTTATAATATAACACAGCATCTAAATAGTTTGTTATTGTAGTTTGGGTTTTTGTGTTTGTTTTTTTTTTTTCCTTTTAGTGTTTGCTACCTTTTCAGTGGAGGACTGTATTGGTGGTGGAACAACACAGAGTTTTCTGAAAAATTCACTACTTCATTTAATATGATGGATGGTCTCAGTTACGGAGTTTTGAATCTCTTACCTGGCATGGAAACAGTGATTATGCTTTCCCTGTGCTACGCTAGGAGAAGTATCTTGAAGATGTCACAGTCCAAATGGATTAGATTTTCTTAGCTGACTGCTTTTGTGAAAATTTGCAAGAGTGAATAGACATTTGCAGAGCAAGTCCAGCCATTTTCTGTCCCGTGTCCCGTCCCCTCCCCTTCCCAAACCTATTAATAGCATTTGTTCAGGAAGCAGAATTTGCTTACATAAGTTGCTAAATGGTAACAATATACAACGAAATGAAGTAAATTAAGGCATAGCCCTCCTCTCACCCCAGATAGTACGAAGAAATGGAGAGTTCATTTTGATGATTTTTCCAGTACAGAATTTGTTTGCAATAGCTGGGGTTAATAAATAAGTGTCTGGAACTGCCCGCTCATTGAGGAAACAGAAAAATATGTTGAGTATTGTTTCATTTCATTGTAGCCATTACTTAGAATTTACAACAAGGAAAATAAAAAAAAAGCTTTGATTTGAATAGCATTCAAAAGTTGTTTTATTAGGGAACTAGAAATTTGCCAAGATGCTTCTTAAAATGAAGACTCAATGTTTCCTCCCCTTATTCTAACCAAAGGGAAAAAATGGCTTTTATGTCTAAGTTCCTTTTGCTTTAAGTTCTGTTTAGGATCAAGATTTTAATTTAATAATTGATTATTCTTGCTACGTGCTTCACTTCTGAAACGAAAATGTTTTTTCTTGATGACCAATTCAACAAACTGTTTTTGTTCATGCGCCAAAGGATACAGACAACATAATTTTTTTCTTTTATTCCTCTTAGAATTGAACTGAATCAAGGCTTCCCGAGGTTAGAACAGTGTCAAGGAAGTAGACTTTAAAAACATGAAAAAGTATTTCTGAATGTAAGCCTATAGCCATCCCTCCCTGTTCTCTTATTTAAAATAGTATTTTAGATGAAATCTACCAAGAACAGAGACAAGCAGTGTTAGAGATAATTCAAATATTGCTCTTCTCTACATGCATAGTGAACCAGTGTCCTCCTCTAATAGAGTTGTATGCCAGAGTTGAAGGGCAGAGAAGAATTAACCTTTTCAGAAACCCATCTGCACCTAAGCTGCTTTGGGAGAAGTCCTGCAAAATCTTTCAGAGGACATTAAAGTGTGCTTTTCTCTCCTGGCTGTACTAATTGTTCAGCATCGTTGCAAATTTCTGTGCAGCTCTGCCTTCTCAAGGGTGTTATCTGGTGGCCATTAAATCATTAGCATCATTTCGTCTCGAAGGACTGGAGAAGCCCTGTGTGTTCCCTTACTGTTACATACTCTAACCTGTAATGTCGGTGTGTGCTATTACAGACCTGTTTTGTGTTACCCTCTACCTGTAGAAGCGGTTCCTTAACAGATTTTTCTTGTAGGCATGACATGTCCACAGTTGCTTCAGCTTTGATACCTGTAGTGTTACAGTAGTGGTTATTTCATGTATGGTTTGGGGAGGAAAGAAGGAAGATAAAATTAGTTTCAGATCATAGCAGCACACCAAAAAGTCTTTTCTGTGGCTTCATGGTAGCAATAGGTGAAGTATTTCTGAACCACGCTTTTGGGTGAATGTTGCTCCTAAGCTTAATTAAAGGATTTGCTTAGATGCCGTAGACAGAACTTTTAAATGCTTTAATGCTTTTGAAATTACAGAAGAGAGAGTTTGTGTAAACATAAGGCAACATTCTCACTGAATATGAATGGATATATTTAGTGAGAAAAGTGTTTTATTAAGGGCCAGCACATTTTTACTGGGGGGTAAAAGCGACACTTAAATAATCTCAGCTCTCAGGCCAGACTTCCCTTTGACAGCAACAAAAGCAGCTTATTTTTCCCCAGTTGATAGGTTTTGCATTGAGGAAAAAACTTAAGTCTTGTTGAGTGATTTCTGTGTGCCAGTTCCCAAAGGCAGGCTGTCTCAGAGCTACATCTGCTTCCTCTGGGACTTGTGCAGCTTAGACTATTATTTGTGTAGCAATGAGTTAGTCCCTAATTCTTATAGAGGCATTGGTGAGATCACTGCTAACTATCAGTGGTGGTTCAGTAACTTTTTTTTTTTAATATAATTTAAAATATATTTATGGTTGACAAGTATACTTTCAACCCATTCCCTATGACAATTAACTGTTATAATTATTTACTCTCATCTCCATCTCCTTCTTTTTAATGTTCTTTCCCACTCCTGTTTTTCCTCCTCTTCTTAAAACAGTAGCTAAAGTCTCACATGCCAGTGAGTTTAAAAAAACTAACCCCATTTCCTGTATCTAATTGTCATCAGTGTATAGGGAAGGATGTAAAGGCAAAAGTTGGATAGGATTTACCCATATACTGTGCTACTTTCCAGTGTTCTCCAGCTCAGTGATTTCCTGAAATAGAGGTTGTGGCTTTATGCTAAGCCTTTTTGTTTGTTTGTTTCTTTCTTTTTGTTTATTTTTCAGTGTTCCTTCAAAGAACTTGTGATGTATTTTTTTCTAAAGTAACGTTCCTTCATGTGAAAAAACATACTGACTCTTCATCAGCATATTATATTTATCTGTTCTTAACCTTTTATTGTTGTTTTTACCTACTTTCTTTGTAGAAATATCTGGACTTCAGCGTGATTGTCCATAATTCCTTGCATGCCAAAGCATTGTGACTTTTGCCATTTTCCATTGCGGTGGTACCAAAGCTGTTCTAAACAAGTTTCCCCCTTTCCCTCCCCTGCCCTCCCCAACACATGCACTGTACCACTCTGTGCTAGTATGTGCTTTCATTCTGGACTCTTTTGCCTGAAGGAAGGATTTTAATGGTTGTAGCTATTAATATCTCCTATTAGCAGTAGAAGACTGTAAAAATACAGATAGTTATTTTTAAGTCGTTTTTTGTATGTGTTAACATTCAGGAGAAGTCCTTTCATATTATCTGGTTTGTAGTCATTCCATGCCTTCGAAATAAATTATAGATGAATGTAGTGCTCTGAATGAGGTCATATAAATACGATTTAGGTCGTGGCACCTTGTACATGAAACTAATTATTGCTTGTTTTCCCGTTCTTCTTTTTAGAGTCTTTCATCGTACTATAAAGGAGGATTTGAACAGAAAATGAGTAGGCAAGAAGCTAGTCTTATTTTAGGTGTAAGGTAGGTGTGTTGCATTAATATGTTTTTGTTTGGTAAGTATTGCATGAAGAAAATGCATGTTGTGAGAATGTGGAATATTCTTGCCAAAATCGTAGGTTTTTTTTTTAAAGACTTCTAATGGCTTATAAACCATTCTAATATTCTGCTTAAGCTAAAAAGCAAACAATAAAATGCTAATAAAACATGCGACTTGTGTTTGGCTTGAAGGCATGGTAACGTATTGCAGTGGAGAATTGGTGCTCTAGAAATAATCAGAATAGCACATACTGTGCTAATTAGTGTGATCACATGGCCTGGTCTCCAAAAAACCCCTTGAGATAAGTAATATTGTAGATTATATTAATAAATGAGGAAAACAAATCAATTTTGCTCATTTTTTTCGTAAGTCAGTAATATTATTTTTCTTTTTTCTCTACTCTGATTTGTTTGGATTTCAAAAGTTGCAGCATATTCCAAACAAAAATACTTGGAGAGACTTGTCATTTAGAGTAGGTATGGGAAATAGTTTCCAGGCTGAGTATTCAGTGGATTTTTTCAAAAGCATTTGGATGGCCAATGATAGCACACACCTTAGTGTTTTCTGTAAAGCAGGCAGTGAGTTTGAGGGCTTTCCAGATGAAAGGAGCAGATCTAACCTTAGGTAGTAGATTTCTTATTTATGGCTTAGATCAGTTATGAATTTTAGGGTTAAAAAAAAAAAAAGATAAGGAGGATGGTTTTAATTATCCCCAGAAGAAATTATTTCACATGGTAAAAACTGGGACTTAAAAAAATCCTGTTCAGTGTGCTATTTGTGTTTACTTCTAACATAATGGATATTATGCAGATTTAGCATTAATTTTAAAAAATTGTAAAATAAAACATTACTTTTATTTGGAATATTTCATGCTTGCACACTGAAGAAGAGATTTATAGAATGCTATTCAGAAATATTTCCTTTGGCCTTTAGGTTTGATAATGTCTTAATGTTTTTACTTTATAAGGGCAAATTCAGTGATATTCCAGAGTAGGACATGGCAGCTCATTAAAGTGTGTTTGCAGTGGTAATGCCTAGCCTGAGCACTGCTCATGTGCATGTCTGAAGTTTCATCACATCTGAAATCAGTCCCCTTTAATTTTTAATTCTAATTGCTTGAGTCTGCACTGGGAGGAATGACACTGCTTGTTGCGTTTGGACCGAGTCTTGCAAATATGAAGACTTAATCAGATTTGAGGAGAGTTCTTCTTAGTGTTTAAAGGTTTGAGCCTTTAATTGTGTAGAAGCATGGCTGACATCTTTATGGGAAATTTTTACATTGTTTAAACACACTTTTGTAGACCAGTTTGAACTCGCTGCTTACTGTGGTGGTTTTTATATATATATAAAAATGTCACCACAAAAAAAAAAAAGGCAAGTGAGTTTTAAAGTGTTATGGAAGATGCCAGGGTATGCACAAACTAGACCTGTCTAGGCCCTGATCTTATTGTAACACTTGTCGTCTGTGTCATCACTTCCAAGTCATGTTAAATTTTGAGGCAAAGACTTTCTTTGTTATTTCAAGTGCTGAGTATGCACGGGCAGTGTAAATAATAAATATAAGCCATGATAAAGGTGAGTATTTAATGATAGCTTTTAATTTTCAAATATATTGGCCCATTACACATTCTAAATATTATTCTTTGATAAGCATCTTGTAAGGTTGCAGGCATTTTGGTAGAAACATGTATGTGTATTGTTTGTATTAAAACTATGTAAAAGGTATCCAAAGCTATAAAGTACTGTATTGGAAATGCTGACTAATTTTAAGTTTTAGTGTTCTTGCATTAGTTGTTATGAAGCAGCACTGATTAATGAAATTCAGTATAAACATAGCAATAATATTTACAACTATGTACTCTGTAGAAGAAACTGCTCATGGGAGAGATGGGGGAATGTTTGAGATGACATAGGAGGTGAAAATGTCAGGAGTGTTTTCCAAACATGAGACAAAATAGATGCTAGCAAAATACAGCTGTCCTAAGTATAATGGTTTGCAGCTATCAGATCCCTAAAGCTGAACTTCTGAAGTTAGAAAATATGTCTGAAAACCATAAGTTAAAATTCTAGATAAAAATGAATAAAATTTCCTGTATTGTACCATTTCCTCTGTGAAACAAGATGCGTACTTTTTTCTTCCACAGGAAATACTTAATTGTTTGTTAATGTACACAATATATACATATGCATTAGCTAAAAATGTTTAAATCATTATTCTTAAAACATGAATGACATAACAAAAAAATCAGTCTATTACATTAAAAAACATACAGTATGTTGTATAAGGGTACAAATACAAACATATTTAAGGTTTAATGATCGTGACTTTGGGATTGTTTTTTGTTTATTTTATTTTGGTTTTTTTATTTTCTTTTGGTTTAGTTAGTTTAGTTTATTTTTTAAACGGAGCTTACTGCAAAGGTATATCATACGATCATATGACCACTCAAGTGGGGAGGGACCTCCGGAGGTCCCTAACTGTACCTGCTGCTCAAAGCAGAGCCACCAGCAGGGTTAGACTTTATCCAGTGGGTCTTGAAAGAATCCCAAGGATGGAGAACGCACAACCTCTCCGGGCGACCTGTGTCACTGCTGGGCTGCCTTTTGGGTGAAAAAGTATTATGTCTGCCCAGCCCGCAGCGCTGCGAGGGGCTCTTCCTTCGCCAGTGCCGGGCTCTGCGTCTGTCCGTGTTGAATTTTGTGAAGGGTTCCCGTCACCCCGTTCCTGCAGCCCTCCAGGTCCCCCTGAGCGTCAGCCCTGCCCTCCAGCATATCGCCTGTTCCCACCAAGGTGATGGACTTCTCAGCCAGTTGGAGATGTGAGAAGGCAGGGTGATGTTGGTGTGACTCAGGTTGTGACGCTGTACCAGTTAAACGGAAATGTGGTTTTGACGTTAAGGGCTTTTTTTGATAGTGATTAAGAATCTTTAGAGACCAGTCTGACTGTGGGATAAGCAATCTCTCATAAACTAAGCAAATTTGATGTAAAACACCATTTTCACAGTTGCTTCTTGGAGCAGAACTGCATGATTTTCCATGATACGCGACTGCAGCTTTTCCACGGTTACGCTTGGGACATCTGAGTTTCTAAATGTAGTATATCAACTTTCCTTTTTATTATTAAGCAACAGCTTTACAAATCAAAATATAATTGTTATTTTTAGCAGTTTGATAACCAATAATTTCTTTTTTGTGTTTATATAGATCAAGGCCTTTCACCTTCTGGTTAATTCTTACTTTCTGGGTTACTTTCTCTTCCACTGAAGTATTCTTTTCTTATGCAGTTCTATGAACTATTTTTGCAACATACCCTAATTTCCCTGTGACAGAATAATAATCAGAGGTTGTTTACCTCGGGAGTGTAGTTAGGCTGATACCTTGCATTCAGACTGTATCTACAAAAAGATTAATTCATTGAATCATCACTGATTAAGAAATCACCTGAAGTGGAAAACACTGCTTCGTTTCTGCATGCTAACAAATTATGAAAAACTAAACCATTCAAACTGTCCTTTCGCATACGATAGCCTTACCGTGTTGGCATATTGCATCCATAAGTGGTTATTTGTCTGGTAAGGTACATATTTAATTTAGGCCAAGTACATATTTTATGTGTCTGTCATTGAAAGAAACAACATTATGTAGCACTTGTAAATCAGCATGTCCCTGAATGTAACACATTGAACAGCTTTGCAAAAATAACAAATACAGGGGTTTTTTTTTCAGGCCCCAGCAGAAGGAAGAATTATTTATGCAGCTATAAAAATATTTACAGTAGAACAAAATGTGATAATATTAAATATTTGTTGTTTTGTCAGTGGTCATATAAATACTGATTTTCTAGCAGGAAAAAATGTGTTTTCTGCATTTAATGATAAGAAAAAACAGCTAGATACACCCTAGAGCTGCCGATCTTTTTTCCTCTTTTTTTTTTCCAGAATTGTTTATTTTAAATGATTGGATGTATTGCATTTTAAAAAAAAACCTGGAAGATATTTGCATGTGTCAAATACACAGGCTTTTTAAAAATGTCCTTCTCAGTGTGTCTTATGTGCCTTTGTTATTGTTACTTCCTCAGAGATGCAGTTTTACGTTTTGTCCACAAGATGGTGAAAATCTCAAGTTTTAATTATTTGTGAAGCCAGTATAAACTGTTAATTTATAGTCTGAGTGCAGTGGCATTTATGGTAAGCACTTCAATTTATTTTTGCAGTCCATCTGCTGGCAAGGCCAAAATCAGAACAGCCCATAGAAGAATCATGATTTTGAATCATCCTGATAAAGGTAAATAATTATTACTTTTCTTAACCAGATCTGGAAAGGAAGAGGCTTAAATGAGATCCTTTAAGTTTACTGATTGTGTAAATAACCGCACTGAGTGCAAATATATGTTGTTTATTTATAGACTTGAGCTTCGGTGTGTCTTCTCTCAGATAAACTAGGTTTTATGAACCACAGTTTTACCCATCTTTCTGTAATGTTGTTTTCTATACTTGTGCTGCTTCAGTTAAAACTATGAGCTCAGGGACCAATCTTCCACACTTCAAAAAAACTTACTCAAAAATAAGAAAAAATTAGCTATAACATTTCTACACTAAACTGACATTACTGTTTTGAACTGAGATGGACCAGTCACATGTATGAAAGTAGCTTTCTGTGGGGAATGTTCTGCAGTCACTAAGTACATCATTGATGAATTTCAGACTTCCTGGAATTCACTTGGAAAAAATGTAAAGCTGGGCACTGTTGCTTTACTGGCCAGGTTTCTAATGTAAATTTATCTTACAGAAAGGCTATTATTATAACTTTAACTACACTACAGCTGGTTGAGAAAGAAAGCCCATATGTTCATTGCTGTTTCTACTTTAAAATAACAGATGGTGAAGAGTTGCACTGTATTTCAGAAGTCAAAAGGGGAAATCGGAGGGTTTTTATATCTTTTTGACAGAATTACAGGGCTCCCTGCCAGCACCCCATTTTAAGAAAATGAAAAAAATAACTGGCCACGGGAAGTGTTTAGTCGATGCTTTTCTTTGCTGTCTTCACCCCTCAGTTCAATTCTAAAGTTGTCCTGCTTATTCGATTTCACACTTTCATTTTTTACATGTTTTATAATGTATAAGCTGCACAGACATAAAAAAGAAATTCTCTTCTGCATTTCTAATATATTATGATGGTGAAAGGCCTCTTAACCACTAGAGTACCTATTAGGTCAAAATTTTTTTGATAACGAACTTCTGAGTTTATTGAAGCAGTACTTAGAGATGTGAGCGAGAACCGTGAATCTCCACGCGGACGTTGAGTAGACCTAAAGAGGCAGTTCCAGTTACGAAGATCATACATTTTAACGACCTGCTCTTACAGCTGTAATGCACCTGCAGCGGGGCACAGTGTAGGTTTGGATGGATGTAGTGAGCCCTCCTGTGTGCTATTAAAATGGAGCATTTTCTCAGTAGGTACACCAGTTGAAGGGATTTGTGCCTCTGTGCTGCCCCTGCAGCTCTTCTGGCATGGCCGTAGAAAAAAAGGTTGTGTAATGTCTTCAGCTGCAGAGCGAGGGCCTGGAGTAATCCTGAACATGTGGCATCACAGAGACACTTGTTTCTTGTGTATGTATTTTGATTTCTTCTGGCTGTGTGTAGCACAGATGTGCTTTTAAAAATATATTCAACATTAGAATGTTATTTTAAAATAATATTTTACCAGCTGGAGTTGATAGAAGAAAGGGCAATAATTACAGATTTTAAAAGTTACAAGTGTTATCTGAGATCCAAAATGTTGAAGAGAATTGTTAGGAATAAATAAATAAGAAATACGTAGAAGTTTGCATAATAACATCCCCCAGTGAGCACTACTAAAATGGTTGCTAATTAACCTTTACAGTTCAGTTTTAAAGTATTTTTATACCGATACATTGTATGTTAATTTATCAGTTACTAATTTCATGAAAGAATATTTGTTTACAGAAAAAGAGGGAGAGAGAAGCCTTTTGGACTTACCCTAATTATAAACAAACTCTTAGGCAATCATAAGATTGAATTTTCTCTTATTGGAGGACTACAAAATTAATACAGCACTTAAGGATGTAAATGTAGTGAAAACACTTCCAGCAGATTTGAATTTACTTTAAGATCCTGCTCTCTAGACATGTCGAAAATCAACACACATTTAAAAATTACTTGGGATACATTGTTTATTGCAGTTTTTAGTTTTTACTGTTTGTTTGATCCTCTTGTCTGCTCTTTGAAAGAAGCAATACTCAATGTAGTAAATCCTATTCCTGGCTAAAAAGCCAATTGGTTTAAAAAAAAGAAAAAAAAATTCATTTTGCAGTAGGCAGTTCTCCTGCCCTGCATCACTTCCCTCCAGTGTGTCTTAGCTATTAGGGCTACATTCAGACAATACTAAAACATGACAAAGAGAACTCCATTACTTTTTCCAGTTGTTTTATTACACCATGAAATGACTTTATAATAATTTGGCTTCCTGCAGGAATGTCCTAAAGAAGTCTTTAAGCAAGCCTTGCCTTTTTGGTTTTATTTACACATGTCTACAACTAGCTCTGCGTGTTTCGTCTATCATTATCTTTTCTGATGAATAGAATAGAATGAAATGATGAATGAAAAAATATGATTGAACAGATGCCTTGGAAAAGGCTATTCAGTGCACAGTACTGCTGGAATCCCATTTTCATGTAAAAAATACAGGTGTATTATAGTAAGTGGTAAGTTACTGATATAGACCTTGTAATGTTGTTTTTGGTGACTGTAGGCAGATGGTTGGCACTCAAGGGGAGAGTAAAAAAAAACAAACACAAAAAGACTGCTGAACTGTAATCGGATTGTTAGATGGAGCGTAAAGCAATGACAGCGTTCAGGACTAGAAGTTAGAAGGTGTACCATGTTTAAATAGCTTTAATGTGATGGTTTCTGGCTGGTAATTCTGGGAGTCTAGCACAGGAGAGACTTGGTGGGTGTGTGTGTGCATGTGCACACACTTGATGATTCTTTGTCAAATTTATATATAAAATTTTACCTTTTAGTTTTGGGGGTGAGTGGGAATAATAGCTGTTAGCCTTGGATGACAAGCTGACCTTGCATACATTTGCAGCAGCATTGCACTGCAAGTCTAAATCACACCAATATGAAGTGATTTTAGATTTCAGTCTTCTCTCTGAGACAAAAATGTTCAGCATTATTGTTCAGTGATTTCAGTTCTGATTACATTTCTCATGTTTCCTTATCAATTAGTTTACTTCATATCAATGTCATGTTTTTTAAGCAGCTGTATGAAAAGGATCTATTTAGGAAGGAGGAGCTAGTAAAAGTAATAAGGGGATGCACGTGAAGTAGTTTGGTACTTAATACTGATGTGTAAATGGTATTCCTTTCTTCTTTTTCTTCTTAGGTGGATCACCTTACTTGGCAACAAAAATAAATGAAGCAAAAGACTTGCTGGAATCCAGTGCCAAAAACTGAAATCCAAAGCCTTGTGTCATAGGAGATTCAGCAGATGCATTGTGCAACAGCTTTCGTATCTACTTGCTCTGCACAGTTTCTTAACCCTGCACTGATTATTCATATTTATTGTCATAATTAAAAAATTAAGATTATTTAAAAGCAAACTGAAATCTTTTACAGTTATGTAAAGTTATGTACAGTTATGCTTGTGTGAGGAGCAGGGAGTTGGACTTGATGATCCTTATGGGTTCCTTCCAGCTCAAGATATTCTATGATTCTGTGTCTCAATTTTAATGTATTTTTACTGAATATTGATCCATTACAGGCTTTGAAAATGTTCTCTTGCTGTCTGTTTTTTTTCCTCAGAAGTAGTTGCTGCTTTCATTAAACATTTGGAGCTTTTTAAAATTTACAAAGTAGTCTTAAATATAGATTTTTTTTTTTTTTCCCCTTCACTGATGAAGACTTGACCGTTGCCAGAAAATCTGTGACAATGTATTGAGTGACAGGAAGTATGGCAGACCCTGTTTTCGGCAAGTTTTCAGCATTGCCTTACACTTGAATCTGTTAAATTATGAAATAGTAGAGTTTATTCATGAGTGCAGTTTGAGAGGTGCAACTCGGAACAAAATGACTAATGGAATACAGACTGCAGTTTCCATTAGCTGTATATATGGGGCTTGGAGATACAAAGGAAGAGTCTTGGGTTTGGTTAGCTCTTTTGCATATTAAGAGATCTCTAAAATTGTCAAATAGTTATTTGGACATGCTTTTACTTAAAGTAACAGGATATGTTTACTCTGTAGCAGCTGGGCGGTGCAGGGGTTTTCATGGCAGTGGAACTGAAGAAGGTAGGTCCGTGTGGCGTGGAGTTCAGATGGATTTTATGGTCTGAGGTTGCGTAGGTCAGTCCAGTCCTGTCGGCCTGGTGTAGGACTGGTAGAGCAGGGAACAAACAGGACTGTACCCCTGATGACAGTCACTTTGCTTCTGGCTCTGGGTGGACTTACTGGGTTTGTTCTCCAGTCATTCTCACATCTGTATTATGCTTCATTTCCCAAAGTATCATACATATCTCCTTATGTAGCACCCTAGTGACCTAGTGCTGGCTTTGGGGAATATTGCAGCCATGGACCTGTGACTTTAAAGAGAACAAATTTTAATTGACAGCTGAGAATAGGTGTTATTTGGGGCACTTGGCTGCTGCAAATTCCTACTAGTAAGTTGGCGGCAGATGAATTGACTCCCTTAAGAGGACGATGGTGTGATGAGACAGTCTAGTGGATTCAGTGCAAGACTGAAAAACTTTCTAGTATCCATTCAAACTCGGATTATTTGAGGTACAACAAACAACGTGCTGAAGTGCTACAAATGTAAAATTTAGATATCCCATTTCCTAGGTTATTTAGCCAGAGGAAAGTGGCTAAGAGCAGTTAAATAATTAAAGCATCCAACCTTATATTATCCACCAGAACCTACTTTTATCTATTTGTCCAGTGGTGGATGTCCAGATTATATGGATTTTTCCTTGAAAGGAGGAAAGAATATGAAATATTTTTTTTTATCAGGTTCCTCCCACTTTGTTACAATTCCCTTATTTTGATTAAAGAGAGATGAAAAAAGTTTAAGTTGGCCCTGAAAGAAAATACTAACTTTAGGTAATTTAGAGACTTCTTTACAATTAGAGTGGCAAGACACATGACACAACTTGACTGGATAAAGCAAAAAAGGCTGCAGGGAAAAACCTGCCTGGGAATAAGCATATGCTATATGAGAACTATACTTGCATCATTTAACTAATGCTCTAATACAAGAAACTTTAAAGAAAATGGACTTTATTGCTATGCAGTAGTCTTAATTGGTTTTTGTTAAAGAAGTAGCCACCAATTAATGCACATTTAAGATTAGTTATTCCTTTCACTGGTATATCAGTATGCATTGGCAAAAAAAATAAATCATGAAAGTTTTCATTTTGGGAAGAGGGAAGTGAGATGGTGAGGTTGTTCCTAATTTTCTTAAGTGGAGTCTGTAAGTGATCTGAGTCATTGTTCAAAAGCAAAATTGATGTGTATGGTAGGTAGCAAAAACATTCTAATGATTTTCAACTGACTAGCTGTTGTTTTCATATGATTGCCTTTTTTTTTTCTCTGAATAAAATGAGGTATAAAGAGCTAAAGTATCAGTTGAAACAAATGCATTAAAGATGGCTACTTGTTCTGTTCCTAAAAATTAACTTCCCATGTCTTTGTAAGAAGGACGGGTTTTATTTTTGTGAGATTGTGTTGTTGATAATTTTCTTCCTGATGTAATTATGTATATCTGATTATTTTGGATGAAACACTTTTTTTTTCTGGCTTTCAGTTACGAGAGAGATTGTCCTTCTTAATAAAAAGAAAGAAATACAAGTTCTAGTCCAGCTTTCTCCCTCTTTTCAGAGCAGACTATTGACTAATTAACAAATTTGACAAATTAACAAAAAAATTAAACAAATTAACTTTGGCCAGTTTTATCTCTGGAAAATGCTGTACAATGAGTGAAGCTAATGAATAGCAGTTGTGAAAGCAGCGTTACTGTATGGCTGGTGCCGTAACATCACATGCACAATAGGGTTAAGTATGTATCCCTGGAAGCAACTAATTTTTCTCGTCTGTTTACTGGCAAAGCTTGCTTTACCTACGAAATGATGTTTGGAAGGGTGAAGATAGGACGGTGAAAGGAAAGATGTAGTCAAGCAAATCATGTAAATACTGCTCCATTTGTTGTCGCTGATAGTCAACATTGCAGGCTAAGGAATGTCTTTGGATCCAGACTGCCTTGCAGAGCAGCCCCTGGTTTGGTGCTCAACTGGCCTAGAAAGAATAGGATACTGCTTTTTTTTAATAGTATAGCCTGTTAATTTAACCTTGTAAATATTTAGCCTCTTGAGACTATTTTCTTTACTTGTCAGATGCAGGTTTTTGTGTAAGAAAACTGCATAGAGGTTGATTTATTCTGGTGCAATTTCTGTCCATCCATAATAGCAGCAACAAGCAAACTCTTTTTTTTGTGTGTGCTTTAATGTTTGGAAAGTGTTCATCTGTAACTTCTTAGCTCGGGAATTTCCAGGTAGTTTTCCACTTGCATGATAACCCAGGTATCCTCTCTTAACTTCAGAAGTCAGGCAAAACTGAGTGCCTTCATTTGGCATTGCTGTGGGTGATTCCCAGTTTATTTAATGAAGCACGGCTTGCTCATCTGCCTGGTTTTTGCTCTTGGTCTGTGGGAGTTTTCTTTGAAATTTCATTCTTTACCCTTGCCACAGCAGACTTAGGCATAGGTCCACAAAAAGACCCAGTGAAATCTGCCTGCACGAGTGCAATTTGCAAAACCTTTGCTGGCCTAGAAGGGGACTTGGGTAGAACTGAGACATAGAAATACAAGGTACAATTCACAAAACCTTTGTCTGATCTCCTAGGCAATTTTAAAGGTAAAAATTTACTCCCCTATGTGCTTAGATTGCTCCTTCTGCATACGTGTAAAACTACTTCCTTGCTAGGTCATTGCTCAGTTTAACACTTTTCTCATCCTTAAACAGAACGTGTGTGTATGTACACGTATGTATAAGCACTCACGTGTTTATACACATACACACTGCTTTTCAGGATCCTGTGAGGAATTTTGCATCTGTACTGGGGTGCACTTTTAAAATAACATTTTTCTTGATTTTTTTTGACTTAATTTTCCAAATTAGATTATTTCAATTTGAGAGTGAGAAAAACTTTCCTCCTCAGGGGTAGATGCAACTTCTGACATACCTCTCAGTTTTCTAAAGAGAGAAAAAATAATGCCAAAGTAAATTACATGTCTTAATTCAAATATTGTGGCATAAATAGGAAGCCAATTAAAAAAAAAAATCAAACACCACCCCCCAAACATCTCCAATTTATGCTCTTTATTGAGTTTCTTTATACCCTGTTTTTGCTCTGGTATAAATATATACAACGTAGTTGTGGGTCTTTTAAAGAAATAGTGGCACTGTACTTCTGCCATCATCATACTTTATTTGTACGAGCTATTTTTTCACAGATTCATGTTCCCAACTTTTTTTAAATGAGAATATTAAACTTACTGGAAAACAAAAAAAAAACCTAGAGCTTTTGGGGATGTTGACAAATATAATTTTCTTTTTGCAAGTGATTAAAATTTCAGCTACATTTAAAATATGCTTTTGTATTTTACTTTCTCCTGTTTTGTAAGTTTATTCACTTGCTTGGGGCATTGAGGAGGAGGAGGGGAGGGAATTTTAGATCATTATTTGATGTCTTACTGACTGTTGGTGGTCCATGAAGCATGGGGTGAGAAACTCCTCCCATGGATAACTTGAATTGTCAGCCTAGATAGGAATATACCTACTTCCTTTAATAGGAAGTCACGAAACTATTCTTAGAAATATGATTTCAACAATGGTAGCATCATCCAATTAATATTCTTAAGATTTTTCAAGAGTTAGTCATGGTACACAAAATAATTGCTGTACAGCTTCATGTGACATTAAAATACCCCTACTGTGCTATTACAGTTTCCTTATTTATATACTAACTTATACAAGGAGAGGTTAATTAGGTTTTTTTAATATAGCAGATATTGCATCTAATAAACTCTAGTTTTAAATCGTGGCAGAGTCCTTCTCCAAAATGATTCCTCTCCAAAATGGTTGTATGATTTAAACATTGCATAAAGCCTGGTTCTGGATTTCTCCTGACCGTTGGAATCGATATGGGCAACTTGGGTGTTCCTTCCGTCTGGCAGGTGAGTGAACAGTTTTTGTTTCAAAGAATAGTAGAGATCCTAAACACTGCAGTGAATACAGTTTAACAAATACAATCTTAACAAAAGAAACCTAAACAAAATTATAGTGGACAATGAAGCTGGTGAAGGGTCTGGAGCACAAGTCTTATGAGGAGCAGCTGATGGAACTGGGGTTGTTTGGTCTGGAGAAAAGGAGGCTGAGGGGAGACCTTATCGCTCTCTACAACTACCTGAAAGGAGGGTGTAGTGAGTTTTGTGCTGGTCTCTTCTGTCCAGTAACAAGCAATAGCACAAGGGGAAATGGCCTCAAGTTGCGTCAGGGAAGTTTAGATTGGATATTAGGAAAAATTTCTTTACTGAAAGGGTTGTCAGGCATTGGAACAGGCTGCCCAGGGAGGTGGTTGAGTCACCATCCCTGGAGGTGTTCAAAAAACGTGTAGACAAGGCACATCAGAACATGGTTTAGTGGGCATGGTGGTGTTGGGTTGACAGTTGGACTTGATGATCCAGAGGTCTTTTCCAAACTTAATGATTCTATTCTAGCTCAATGGGTAACCAGGTTTGTCCTGGGTCCTCTCGTCTT